CTGCAGATCCATTGGATTCAATAGCAGCTTTTTGATGTTACAGCAAAAACAGTGGGCCCAGCTTCTTTACGTATCCCAGTTCACAATTTCTTTTATGTATAATAAGGTTTTTTTAAAAAAAACCCTGCAAACAGTCTTGAAGGAGGGCGTGAAATGCTACTCAAAGGCTCCCCTGAATTCTCACAGAACAAGCGCCATTTTGAAAACAACAAGAGTCCATATTTGCTACACGTGGCACAGAAACAAAGCCACCAACGATATTTCTTCCTGTAGAAAGAACACAAACCCCTCTGCAAGGAGAACAGTAGCAGGAAACTTTTCTGGGTTTTCAAGCTCTATGGAAAGATGTTTGCTGAGGTGAACTGAAAGGCACAGATGCTAGAGGGCCCGAAGCTCAGTGGCCATGAAAGACAGCCCAGAGGGGTCAAGTAAACCTTCTGTTTCTTGCTGACTAAAAAACATAGCTAACAAGCATTGCCAAGAGGCCCGAATAAAAATGTTATGTCCCTTTAACAGAGGTTTTATGGGATGTTATTTACCTCTGTGCCAAGCAGAGTTGCCAGCCAGGTACATGAGTAAACACACACACACACACCAGCCATTTGCTATCAACCCTGAGAGCTTCTGGGAATGAGGCAGGGGTGACATATCTGGAAGCAATACCATAATACTGTTTTTTCTTTATTTTTGCTCCCACCTCCACTAAGCAGCAGTAGGACTGCAATGGCAGGAGGCGCCATAGAGCCATGAGACGTTTCAACATTTTCCCCAGGCCTTTTGGCAACGCATTCAAACTGGGGTGATTTCCCACAAGCGCTTCTCCGCGCTCACTCTTCTCTTTGGCCCGATGGTAAGTGTCAATTTCACACAAGCTGCTGTGCGACCGCATTTTGCCCCGCAGCTTCGTGCGATTTTCCCCGCGTCTACTCAATCCTGTTTTTTGAGGATTGAGTAGACGCGGGGAAAATCGCACGAAGCTGCGGGGCAAAATGCGGCCGCGCAGCAGCTTGTGTGAAATTGACACATACCATCGGGGCAAAAGGGAGGAGTGAGCGCGGAGCAGCGCTTGTGGGAAATCACCCCTGGTGACTGCAGAAGCCACACAGAGAAGCGGGATTGCCAAACTCCGGGTGGGTGCACACAAACGACAACAGCACCGTGTAAACAATATTTAATGAAATTAAATCTCAAATCAATTTTATATTGAAATTTTCTTATTTCAATATCATAAACAAAATAATCTAACCAGATAAATTCTCGTAGTCTTGCAGCTGGCTATTTACTCAAGTCTTCAGAGTGGTTACATAACTCCGCGGGACAACTAAAGTACTTAGTAGTTCCTTCGCGTCTCAAACGTCCCATGTTTTTGATAACCCCATGAGGTATTCTTAGAAGTGTTTGTTTTGATATCTCAATGTAATATATGTTCTTGAAACTATCCAGCTGGACTATTTTGTTGATGATATTTAAATAAGAAAATATCAATATCAAATTGTTTTGAGATTTAATTTCATATAAATACGGTTTACATGGTGCTGCTGTTGTTAGAGTGCAGACTCCTCCACCGTGGTCCTTTTGTTTGAATTAAAACTCCAGGTGGGGGCTGGAGATCTCCTGGCATTACGACTGATCTCCAGATGACAGAGGTCAGTTCCCCTCGAGAAAATGGCCACTTTGGAAGGTGGAGTGGAGTCTATGGCATTATACACTGCTGAGTAGGGTTGCCAAGTCTGAAGCAGAGCTGCAGTGGGGGACTCCAGCGCTGCTTTGGGAGTGTATGTGTGAGCGCGAAGCACGCACCGCAACCACATCACCCGGAAATGATGCGACCACGCCAGGCATGCTGGGGATGGGGCCACGACCATCCAAGGGAAAACCATAGAGTTTTCCCTCGGATGACCGTGCCCCCGCCCCCAGCATGCCCGACGTGCCCGCATCACTTCCGGGTGATGTGCACGTTGCGTGCTTTGGGGGGGTTCCCCCGGGGCCCGATCCGCCAGCAGCGGGGAATGGGCCTCTGGGGCGGGGGTTTCCCCACACCCTGGGGGGAATTGGCAAGCCTACTGCTGAGGTCCCTCCCCTTTCCAAATCCTGCCCTCCCCAGGCTCTGCCACCAAAATCTCCAAGCATTTCCCAAGCGGGAGCTGGTAACCCTACAGCCAGCCCTGATCAGTCAGTTAGGCCTGACACAGAGCGCCTCAAAGGAGTCAGGGTGTATCTCCCAACTGCCTCCATCTAACACATGCACAGAGGCCTGTCTTCTCTCAGAGTCATTCTCCAAGAGCACATAAATTGAATTCCTGCCCCACACATCCTGACCCAGGTCACCAGCTCAAGATCCACAGCAGGCTCATGTTTGGCTTCAGAGGTCACAAGAGATTTACCACAGGATGAAACTTAATCTGAGATCTTGACGCTTCCTTGCTCCTTCAGGTACACGAGTAAACACACACACACACAATCTCCTCAGCACAACAAACCTTTCCTTTACTGCTGTCCACCAGATCCTTCCTACATTTTGAGCCCTGTTCACTAGTTACATTGAACACACATACAAGCCGTGTGCAGTGTACACTTGAGTGGTCTTTACAGGGCTCTTTTTGTAGAAAAAGCCCAGCAGGAACTCATTAGCATAATAGGCCACACCCAACAGCAAATCTCAGTCAGATTATACCCCACCCCCTAACAGCAGCTCATTAGCACATGAGGCCACACCCCCATGTTACCAGAAGTGTGGTCATCCGGCCACACCCACCTTTCCCTTCTTATTCTGTTGACCTGATTTGTTGTCAAAACCCAGGGCTTTTTTTGCAGCAGGAACTCCTTTGCATGTTAGGCCACACACCCCTAATGTAGCCAATCCTAATGAGTTTCTGCTATTGGGTGTGGCCTGTTATGCTAATGAGTTCCTGCTGGGCGAGGCCAACTCGGGAGCCAGCCGGAACTCCGTTCCTGTGCGTTCCTGCCCCAAAATAGCCCTGTTTATACACACATCGAGTAATTCTCGATTCATTCAACGCATGGACAGCTGAACGTGTGATTGAAACCCCATATTCTTCCAGGAAATGGTTCCTCTTTTCATTTGGAAAGTGAATGCACGTTGGCTCTTTCTTACCAACAGATGTACACACGCACCTGCGGGTTGTACATCGTGTGTTTACTGTAACGTGTGAATAGGCCTACTGACACCTCAACATGGAGGAAATATTTTGGTCTTTGTGGAGTCCAGATTACCTCAGACATATTTCTCCAGGTGGGGAAAAAAACCCTGCCTTTTTAGAAATGAACTGACCAGCACTTTCTAGTACTGGCACGTCAAGGGAACGTACTTCAAAATGCACAAGCACACAAAGATGTCCCCAGATGAGGGCTCCAGAGCATGAGACCTGATACTACAGAGATCTCATAGTATATTTTATAAAACGGCTGATTGAACTCTGGGGTTTATAGCGGCTGTTAACTTCCCCCTAATTGAATAGCCTTCCCTGCCACACACACAGTTGTTGAAGTCACCTAAAAGGATCACAGTGGTAACAACTATCTGATCTTCAAGATTTCTTTTTTTATATGCTACAAACTTGGCAAGTGTGCACATGGACACATGAAGCTGCCTTATACTGAATCAGAGCCTTGGTCCTTCAAAGTCAGCATTGTCTACTCAGACTGGCAATGGCTCTCCAGTGTTTCAGGCAGTGGTCTTTCAAGTTTCACATCACGTTCTACTTGATCCTTAACTGGAAATGCCAGGGATTGAACCTGGGACCTTCTGCATGTAAAGCAGGTGCTCTACCACTGAGCCACAGCTCCTCCCCAAATCCAAAACATTTTACATATAAAGCTGCCTTATACTGCATCCGGCTCAGTAAGGTCTCTTCTGACAGGCGGCAGCTCTCCAGGACCTCAGGCAGAGTCTTTCCCAACTTTAACTGGAGATGCCAAACCACGGACCTTCTGTGTACAAAGCCAGTGCCCCATAACAGAGATCCCATTCAGGCAAAATTCAGATTCACATGTTTCTGCATAGGGTTACAGTGATCTCTGGGAAGACACACATAAACAGCAAACATGGGAGATGTGGTTTTTGAATAACTGAGAAGCAAATTTTTAAAATCTGGATTCTCTAGATCCCCTTTCTGGTGAGTGTTTGGGATAGGTAAAGTGCACCTCCGCCCCTCCCCACTATATGGCACAGTCTTCTGCGAGGAACGGATTGGACAAGCAACCAGAGGAGAATATGCTACAGCCAAGGAGGACTCAAAAGGAAATGGGGTTAAGCACCATAAACATTTACACTGTTCAGTCCATACAGGTTAACAGAAATAGTACTATCGAGCCAGCCCTGCACGGAAGCACAAATTAAAAAAAAAAGGAAGAAGTGTTTCTGGATACCCGCAAATGTATCAGGACTGAAGCGTCACGTGCCAGTAAGCCTCAGAGGTACCTTATTGTACCAGTTGTTAAGCCTTATCTTTTTTTTTTGCAGGTGCAAAGGTAATTCTTTAAGGTTCTCTCTAACACTTACATATTTGGGGAGGGGGGGAACCCCAGGAGATGGCCCTTTTTATATACTTTGCAAGATATCGGGCCATAGCTCTAAGGAATGACCGTCGCTGCCTTTGGACCATCTTGGACGGCAAGTTGTCTCAATTCCAATCTGGAACTCTCTCTGACACACCCACAGCCATATGCTGCTAAGCTGTGGTGCAGTTTGGGCGGTTTGGCAGCTTCGAGGTAGTTGTTTATTCCTGCTTCATCTCTGAGCAACCGTTTTCGACAAAAAAAACACAACCCTGCTCAGCCCCTTCTTGCTGGCGCTCTTTTCAGCCCACTTAAATCCTTTTTGTTTGTTGAAATGCGCTATGTAACAGATACCCTCCCCCTTTCGACTCGGTTGACTCCCTCTCCCTCCCCCCCCAGAGGCTCTTTAAACTTTCAGCCTCTTGGTTGCTGAGAGCCAGAATGGTGCATCAATGTCTTGGTCAAAAGCGTGTCCAGCCCAGTCAGCATGGTCTCGGGGTACAAAAGTCCAGCTCCTGGGGCTTCTTCCTGAGGTTGCAGCGGTCGCGGGGCAGCAGAACACCGCCCCGTCCTGTGCATTTCAGTATGCGCCTCTTGAACCCCCTGCCACAGGTTTTGGAGCAGGGCGACCAGGGTCCCGCCTCCCATGCGGGGCAGGGGTCACCGCATATCCTGATGTCGGTGGGCCGCTGAGTGGCATCGCAAGCGGAGGCCAGCTGGCCTAGGGCGTCACGGCACAGCACCATGCGCTTCTGCAGCCCGTTGCCGCAGGTGACGGAACAGTCCTCCCAGCTGGTGGTGGCCCACTTGTAAGAGGGGCGTTTGTAATCCGGCCGGCCTGTATCCAGGCGGTTGGAGAGGGTAAGGATGCTGTTGTTGAGGACAGGCGGGCGCTTCCCGTCTTTGCGGTATGAGGACTTGTCCTCCCTGTTTTCCTTTGGCAGGTAGAAGGAATACCGTACCCGAGGCGGAGTCATCTTCCCGACCGAAAGCACCTCCACCGTCAGTGGCTCCTGGATGGGCATAAAGGCTTGGAGACTTTCCACCGCTGTCCCCGTTCCGCTGTAGCGCAGCACACTGCCTTTCACCATCAGGTCCCTCTCCACCGCCGAGACGATGAAATGCCCATTCAGGAGGTATTTGCCATGCCCGTTCTTCACGGCCAGGTAGTTGTCGTCACTGATTAGGCCCTTGTAGCCTCGCTGTCTGATATCAATGCTGGATGCACCGGCTGGGATGAGCACCACAAAGTTATAGCCGTGCCTGGAGAGGGAGAAAGACGTTTGAGATGGGGCAATAAAAGCTGAGTTGTACAGATTCTCTTAGAACCTTGACAGTTGCAAATTCCATTTTTTTAAAGGGCCAAGTGTCTAGATTTCATACCTTTTTATCCCTCTAAATGTGATGGAGCAGCATTTCTGCATATTACCCCCTAAAGGGAAAGGTTCCCTTGCTCGAAAGCCAGTCGAATCCGACTCTAGGGTTGCGGTGCTCATCTCCGTTTCAAAGCCAAAGAGCCAGCACTGTCCGAAGACGTTTCCATGGTCATGTGGCCGGCATGAATAAATACCAAGGCGCAGGGAACGCTGTTACCTTCCCACCGAAGTGGTACCTATTTATCTACTTGCAATTTCTTGCTTTCAAACTGCTAGGTTGGCAGGACCTGGAACTAGAGATGGGAGCTCACTCCATCATGCGGCACCTGGGTCTCGAACTGCTGAACTACTGACCTTTCACAGCCTGCAGTTCAGCATCTTAACCACTTGAGCCACCGCAGCTCTTTTTATACTACCCCCTACTGACTTCTAATTTCTCCTAACTGGTGCATTACGTTATCCAGGAGTACTGAATAAAAGAAACACCCAGTGGATTTTTCTGTTGAAAAGCTATTGTATTTCTGTAACCCAGTATGTCCGTTCTAGACCGACAGTATAATCCCCAAGAGTTACACCTTTCTAAGTCCATCGACTTCAGTGGACTCGGAAGGGTATAACTCTGCTTAGCATTGCACTGTAAATGCTGCTATTACATAATGAGGATCAGGTCACTCTTAACAAGACTGGAAAGAAACACAGTCAATGCTCCCTCTAAACTGTGGAGACTTGTGAGTGAAAATTCCACTTTGAGAGCTACTGGCATTAAAGTTGAGAGTGAGCGATTTGGCTACTGCATACATTAGTTTGCCCTGGAGCCATCCTTCCTGAGCCAAGACAAAAATATGTGAGCCAGAGGCTAAAAAACTGTGAGCTAGCTCACACTAACTCAGCTTAGAGGGAACACTGAATTATTGTCATCCAAGGTCAGGTGTCCCTTTGTTTGTTCTTAAAAGCAGCACATTTTATTCCCTGTCCGCAAAGGAAGTTCACTCACATGGGCTTGGTGAACAGGCCGGAGACTTTCTTGCAGCTCTTGTTGTCCCCACCGCACACTCCGCACTTATCAAACTTCTTTTTCGAGCCAAGTTTCCCGTCACATCCAGCCTTGATACACTTGCCCTGGACACACAGCGAGGTGGAGTCTGGGGAGCATGGGGTGCCATCCACCACCTAGAGGTCACCGAGACAGAGGGGGCCATTCAGTGGTCAAACGGGGAGTAGTGGGGGTGCACAGCAATGGGTGCACACAGCATTGCCTTTGCTACGAGAAGCACGTCTTTATTCACACTATCTACAAGTTAAACGTAAAGGAGGGCACAAGCCATTCCATGGGAGGAGGAGGAAGAGACGAAGACAAAGATGATGAAGACAAAGATGGAGAAGGAGAAGGAGAGGAGGAGGAGGAGAAAGAGGAGGAGACTGGATTTATACCCCACCCTTCACTACCCGAAGGAGTCTCAGAACGGCTTACAATCAACTTTCCCCTTCCCCTCTCCACAACAGACACCCTGTGAGGTAGGTGGGGCTGAGAGAGCTCTCTTGAGAACTGCTCCGTGAAAGAACAGCACTTCATGCTCGGAGATGCTGTTTTCCTAGCTAGCTAGCAAGTGCACCATATGGGCTGAACAAAAACAGGAGACAGGAAGTTCAGGTTTTGATGCCCGAAGGCTTAGAGAGCTCCACAGGAAGATGGTAACAAGGGCCAAATCAAGCACTAGTGGTGACTGAGTTTCGCATGTGCTCAACACCCTCGTTTATTGCAGGTGGATGGCAACTGGGGGAAGTGGGCACCCTATGGCCCGTGCTCTCGGACCTGTGGTGGAGGAGTCCAGTTGGCGAAGCGTGAATGCAACAACCCCGCACCTGCCAACGAAGGGAAGTACTGTGAAGGGGTTCGAGTGAAATACCGTTCCTGTGGCCTGGATCCCTGCTCAGACTCAGGTGAGGCTCTGCAAAGATGGGGACTCGGATATGGGCTGCCTGTCCTGCAGAGGTTTTAAATCGCAGCCGTTCTAAGCTGATCATAAAAAGTTGCACATCGGAGTGCTGGTTACCAGCTGTTCTGTCTGTCCACCATTATTTTGACAGTGCAATGAAGTAACCAATCAGGGGGTTGAAATGCTTGCAGGGCAGAAGTGATTCTTCAGGAGGGAAGTATTTCACACAACACCCAATTAATGCAGTAATAACTTAGGCCATCTGCTAAGGCCCTTTGAATTTGAGAACATAAGGAGAGCCCTGCTGGATCAGACCAATGGTCCATTTAGTCCATCATCCTGTCTCACCCGGTGGCCAACCTGTTCCTCTGGAGGTCCAAAAACAGGGCATAGAGGCTGAGGCCTTCCTTTGATGTTGCCTCCTGACTCTGGGGTTCATAGGTTGACTGCCTCCGAGCATGGAGGTTCCCTTTAGTCACCACGGCCAGTAGCCTCTGAAAGACCTATTCTCCATGAATCTATCTAATCCCCCTTTTAAAGCTGTTCATCCCTGTGGCCATCACTACATCCTCTGGCAGCGAGTTCCACATTTTAATCGTTCCCTGTGAGAAGACGTATTTCCTTTTCCCCGTCCTGAACCTTCTACCCACCGGTTTCATTGGGTGCCCTTGAGTTCTAGTCTTTTGGGAGAGGGATTTAAATTTTCCTTTGTCAGCTCTCTCCACCCCATGCATCATTTTATAAATCTCTACCATGTGCCCTCTGAGTCGTCTCTTTTCTAAACTGACAAGTCCCAGGCTCTTCAGCCTTTCCGTACAGGGAAGCTGCTCCAACCCCTCGGTTGCCATCTTGGTTGCCTTCCTCTGTACTCCTTGTTTGTGGAAAGCTGACTACCTGGCGCCTGATCTTTTCGTTCCAGGCGCTGGGTCAAAATCGTTCTTATCAACCTAGGCATTTGACTGTTAGTACATTTCCCGTGTTTCCATTTCCCCCTCCCTTTGTTTTTTCACTGGCTGGCTTTATACGTTTTAATCTCCTTTTTAGTGGTTCTTTTATTGTTGGCTTTGTACGATGTCCCATTTGGAAATCGATGGTAATGTTGGAGCTTTTGTTGCTTGCTGCCCGGGGCCTGTTGGTTGCCGAGTGGCAAATAAATCTCTAATAATAATGCATCGGGATGATTCGGAGGCCTCTTTGCCCTATGTGTTGGCCCTGCAGGACAACTTGTTGGCTGCTGTATGCAACAGGATGTTGGACTTGGGGAGGGGCCGTGGCTCAGTGGAAGAGCACCTGCTTGGCCTGCAGAAAGCCCCAGGTTCAATCCCTGACATCTCCAGTTTAAAAGACCAGGCAAGAGATGATGTGAAAGACCACTGCCTGAAACCTTGGAGAGCCACCACCAGTCTGAGTAGACAATAATGACCTTGATGGACCAACGATCTAATTAAGTATAAGGCAGCTTCATGTGACTACACGGGACCACTGATCTAATCCAGCAACCATCTTCTTATGCTCTTAGCTGAATGGATCCTCCTTGTACAGAATAAGTCTTTCCTACGGTACACAATGTGGAGAGCCACTTCAGGGCTCCAGCTAAACCCTTCCTTGTGGGGAGGCCCTGGGAAAAGTGGGGGGGCAGTTGGAGCTGCGTCTGCCGCGCTCGCTCGTTCGCCTCCCCCCCATCTCGCTTTATTTTGTTTTGACCGCAGGGTGCCTTCCTTGGAAGCCCGGCGGTCAAAACAAAATAAAGCGAGATGGGGGGGAGGCGAACGAGCGAGCGCGGCAGACGCAGCTCCAACTGCCCCCCCACTTTTCCCAGGGCCTCCCCACAAGGAAGGGTTTAGCTGGAGCCCTGAAGTGGCTCTCCACATTGTGTACCGTAGGAAAGACTTATTCTGTACAAGGAGGATCCATTCAGCTAAGAGCATAAGAAGATGGTTGCTGGATTAGATCAGTGGTCCCGTGTAGTCACATGAAGCTGCCTTATACTTAATTAGATCGTTGGTCCATCAAGGTCATTATTGTCTACTCAGACTGGTGGTGGCTCTCCAAGGTTTCAGGCAGTGGTCTTTCACATCATCTCTTGCCTGGTCTTTTAAACTGGAGATGTCAGGGATTGAACCTGGGGCTTTCTGCAGGCCAAGCAGGTGCTCTTCCACTGAGCCACGGCCCCTCCCCAAGTCCAACATCCTGTTGCATACAGCAGCCAACAAGTTGTCCTGCAGGGCCAACACATAGGGCAAAGAGGCCTCCGAATCATCCCGATGCATTATTATTAGAGATTTATTTGCCACTCGGCAACCAACAGGCCCCGGGCAGCAAGCAACAAAAGCTCCAACATTACCATCGATTTCCAAATGGGACATCGTACAAAGCCAACAATAAAAGAACCACTAAAAAGGAGATTAAAACGTATAAAGCCAGCCAGTGAAAAAACAAAGGGAGGGGGAAATGGAAACACGGGAAATGTACTAACAGTCAAATGCCTAGGTTGATAAGAACGATTTTGACCCAGCGCCTGGAACGAAAAGATCAGGCGCCAGGTAGTCAGCTTTCCACAAACAAGGAGTACAGAGGAAGGCAACCAAGATGGCAACCGAGGGGTTGGAGCAGCTTCCCTGTACGGAAAGGCTGAAGAGCCTGGGACTTGTCAGTTTAGAAAAGAGACGACTCAGAGGGCACATGGTAGAGATTTATAAAATGATGCATGGGGTGGAGAGAGCTGACAAAGGAAAATTTAAATCCCTCTCCCAAAAGACTAGGACTCAAGGGCACCCAATGAAACCGGTGGGTAGAAGGTTCAGGACGGGGAAAAGGAAATACGTCTTCTCACAGGGAACGATTAAAATGTGGAACTCGCTGCCAGAGGATGTAGTGATGGCCACAGGGATGAACAGCTTTAAAAGGGGATTAGATAGATTCATGGAGAATAGATCTTTCAGAGGCTACTGGCCGTGGTGACTAAAGGGAACCTCCATGCTCGGAGGCAGTCAACCTATGAACCCCAGAGTCAGGAGGCAACATCAAAGGAAGGCCTCAGCCTCTCTGCCCTGTTTTTGGACCTCCAGAGGAACAGGTTGGCCACTGGGTGAGACAGGATGATGGACTAGATGGACCATTGGTCTGATCCAGCAGGGCTCTCCTTATGTTCTCAAATCCAAAGGGCCTTGGCAGACGGCCTAAGTTGTTACTGCATTAATTGGGTGGGTGTGGTGTGAAATACTTCCCTCCTGAAGAAACACTTCTGCCCTGCAAGCATTTCAACCCCCTGATTGGTTACTTCATTGCACTGTCAAAATTATGGTGGGCAGACAGAACAGCTGGTAACCAGCACTCTGATGTGTAACGTTTTATGATCAGCTTAGAATGGCTGTGATTTAAAACCTGTGCGGGACAGGCAGCCCACATCCGAGTCCCCATCTTTGCAGAGCCTCACCTGAGTCTGAGCAGGGATCCAGGCCACAGGAACGGTATTTCACTCGAACCCCTTCACAGTACTTCCCTTCGTTGGCAGGTGCGGGGTTGTTGCATTCACGCTTCGCCAACTGGACTCCTCCACCACAGGTCCGAGAGCACGGGCCATAGGGTGCCCACTTCCCCCAGTTGCCATCCACCTGCAATAAACGAGGGTGTTGAGCGCATGCGAAACTCAGTCACCACTAGTGCTTGATTTGGCCCTTGTTACCATCTTCCTGTGGAGCTCTCTAAGCCTTCGGGCATCAAAACCTGAACTTCCTGTCTCCTGTTTTTGTTCAGCCCATATGGTGCACTTGCTAGCTAGCTAGGAAAACAGCATCTCCGAGCATGAAGTGCTGTTCTTTCACAGCAGCCAGTCTGTACACAAAACAGGCAGCAGGTTTGGAGATGTTATCTCCTGATCCAGGGGGATTGGGGGGGGGGCAAATGAAGTGGTAACGTGATATATACAAGAGCTAATTTGCAAGTAGGCCAGTTGAAAATGAAAGGCACATCAGTGATTGAGAAACTCATTACATGGCTTAGACAGTGATCAGTGCTTGCAGGGCATGAGAAATTTGGTGCCCAATGATTTAAGAGCGTATTGCAAAAATCAGATATCTGCATTTTCAGACAGGTATGTGAAACCCTTCTAAAGTATCTCCTGCTCAGGCCCGTAGCTATAGTGGGGCATCGTGGGGCCAGGCCCTCTGACTTACCACCCTCTGGGGCCAGGCCCTCTGACTTACCACCGAGCTGGGTGGAGAGTGACGTTTCAGGCCACGTGGTGCCTCAACCCTTCGCTATGCCTCTTACTTAGCGGCTTGCATGAGAGACTGGGGCTTCTATAGGGTGCTCCCAGGCTTGGGGGGGCTGACTTATTTAGAGCCCCCCCCCAAAAAAAATAAGGAATCCTGGCTACGGGCCTGCTCCTACTTCTGTGCAAGAACAGTGCTTAGCACTGAGCTTAGCACAGGGTGACAATTCAGCATCTTGAGAACTTCAAACAGTCCTTTTCTTTGAAAAGCCCTTACAGTTTCAAAGATAAGCCTGAAAGTGTGTCAGCAACGCCTGGCAAAACCTTGGTGGAAAAGGCCACCAAGTCGCAGCCCGCAGGCAAGAGATGAACAGAACTGGTTTGCCCTTGCCTGACTGTGCATGGCATCCCTGGACTTCCATAGTGGTCTCCCATCCAAGTGATAACCAGGGCTGACCCTGCTTAGCTTCAGGCTCTGATGAGACCAGGCTAGCCTGAGCTATCCAGGTCAGTGCAAAAAAATCTTGGAGGTCCAAAATTCCTTATAGCCCCCGATTTTTGCAAATGGTTGGGGGTTTTTTCTTTCCAGAATTCAATTTGTTTTCAGCATTTACAACATTCTAACAGAGGAGGAGGAGGAGGAGGAGGATGGATTTATAATTCGCCCTTCACTCAGATTCTCAGAGCGACTTACAAACTCCTTTCCCTTCCCTTCCCCACAACAGACACCCTGTGATATAGGTGGGGCTGAGAGAGCTCTTTCCAGAAACTGCTTTTTCAAGGACAGCTCTGACAGAACTATGGCTTGCCCAAGGTTATCCATAATGGCAGAAAGTGAAGAGAACCTAAAGAGTCTCTTGCTCAGAGTAAAAGAGGAGAGCGCAAAAGTGGGCTTGAAGCTCAACATCAAAAAAACTAAGATCATGGCATCCGGCCCCATCACTCCTTGGCAAATAGAAGGGGAAGTCGTGGAAGTAGTGACAGACTTCACGTTCCTGGGATCCCAGATCACCGCAGACTGTGACAGCAGCCATGAAATTAAAAGACGCCTGCTCCTTGGGAGGAAAGCGATGGCGAACCTAAACAGCATGATAAAAAGTAGAGACATCACCCTGCCAACAAAAGTCCACATGGTCAAAGCAATGGTATTCCCAGTAGTCATGTATGGCTGCGAGAGTTGGACTATAAGGAAGGCCAAGCACTGAAGAATAGATTCTTTTGAACTATGGTGCTGGAGAAGACTCTTGAGAGTCCCTTGGACTGCAAAAAGATCAAATCAGTCAATCCTAAAAGAAATCAACCCTGACTGTTCCCTGGAAGGCCAGATAATGAAACTGAAGCTCAAATACTTTGGCCACCAAATGAGAAGGGAGCACTCACTGGAAAAGACCCTGATGCTGGGAAAGATTGAAGGTCAAAGAAGACGGGGACGGCAAAGGATGAGATGGTTAGACAGTGTCATAGATGCAATGAACATGAAGTTGAGCAAACGTCAGAGGACGGCGGAAGACAGGAGGGCCTGGCGTGATCTGGTCCATGGGG